CATGGCATACTTTACATTGCTTAATAATGTATAATAGCTGTGTATATATATGCAACAAATTATATGTCTGTGTTGAACTAAGAAATTAATTATTGGAAGCTCTTTATGCAGTGTAAAGCAGAACAAATGAATTAAACCAGCTACATTAGAGCTACATTAGTTGACTCATAAAAGTAAGTCGATACTTGGACCATTATGCTTTTTAGATTTAATAGGTTTTATTGTTTATAGATAATATTGCTTGAAGAAAGTTGTAACCAATACAAATAAACCCACAGGAAGAGCTGCAGATCTGTTTTTATCTTTTAATTTGTCCATGAACATAGTGCTTTGTAATCCAAATGTTCATTACTTTAGGTTTGTCTATATACAATTATATGTGTGTCAGTGGACCTACATTAGGTTATTGCATCATATGATTCATTAAATATTATCTCTCTTTATATGGCCTTAGCACATTATACTCGAACCTTATTCAAGTCAAAAGCAGGTCACATGTCAGAAACTGTGAAGTCCTGTGTAGAAAATTGTAGATAAGTTTCTTTCCAGGTCTTTTTTTACACAGTGGACTTGATTTCATCACTCGTTATATAACAAGGTGATAAGAATAGATTTTGGTGTGACTTTGTCACACATAACATATAGGCTACATTCATTTCTAGCGAGCAATCTGCACAGGGTCTTCACAAACAAGACTGCAAGGCAAAAGCAGAATCTTACATACTGTCCAGTGTTCTGACAAATAATGCTACCAACACTGTATTTATCCTACTGTAAGGGTAGGGTTGGGGTAGGTGTAGGTGTATGTTAATAAAGCCTCACACCTTATTAATATCGTGCTGGAAGCAAAATCTGATAGGTAGCAGTTTTCTCTATCGAATTATGCTACCATCTGTTTTAATGGGAGGCAGCAAAATCTGACAGGGCAGCACATATCGTCAGAACACCGGAATGCGGGTATGCTCAAATTTATAGATTGTGTACCTTCCTGTAGCTTTATTAGTTATTATTTCACTTGATGGCGGCGCCAGGATTGTTGTAGAAGGGTTTTAGACGGGAATAGCACTCTCTAGTGGTAATACTATCACTAGATAGTAATGCAGATCTGAATGTGCAACAGTGAGAACTATAAAAATGATTACTTAATTATGGTATGACATTTGTCCAGTGGCGTCCTGTTTAGCAGCCCCATATTCCTTGTTTTCTTAAACATACAAAATGGCTAACAGATTTTTTTTTCTTTCTCAAGTTGTAAGCTTCGTCTTGGTAGCTTAAGCTTCTTTTACCAAGAAGTCAGCAGCAGGCTCAGTGAAGAGCATACTTGAGATGAAATATCACGTGACGACAAAGAAGAAAAATCAAGGTAAATATCACAACGTATGATAATGTTTATAAATTTCTTATATATACAATATATAGACATCATTATAATGTAATTTACTCTGTGATGGCAAAGCTGAATTTTCATCAGCCATTATTCTAGTCTTCAGTGTCACGTGATCCTTCAGAAATCATTTTAATATACTGTAATACAATATAATGATTGTTATTGATGTTAAAAACAGTTTCTTTTTATTTTTATGATTTTTTATAAATAGAAACGACAGCATTTATTTGAAATATAATTTTTTTTGTCACATTATAAATGTCTTAACTGTGACTTTTGATCAATTTAATGCATCCTTGCTAAATAAATACATTTTTAAAAAGATGCACCGAACTTTTGAATTACACTTGCATAATAGCGCCATCTAGTGGACTCAGTATATCAGTTAATCTGTGCTAACAAATATTCTAATATTCACCTTGGTGTGGATAGGAGGACAGTTGTGATATACTGTTGTATAGAGAAAGATACATGTCGAAACTCAGCAATTAAATATAGATGAATTGTTCAGGGATATGTAGTAAACATATTCACCATTGTTTCTGATAAATCACTATAGTTACTACTAAAGTTATTAATACTGTACAACTGTAATACTGTTTTATATAATAAATGAATTTGCTCGTAATTCAGACACTAAGAAAAATAAGAATCTTTGTCTTTTAAACTCTTTTTGTGCTAACAAATTGTGTATAATTATTTTCTGTGTATTATCTTTTGCTTTAACATGTTTGACGGTAAACATGCTCTTATATCATTATGAGCTAATCATGTGAAACAGTAGTGTAGGGCCTGGACATAACTGGACCTCTGCTTTAGTTCTTTGTGATATCCCATGGTAGCTGATTTTACATGGTTTCTAGCTGAACCAGACCGGTTCAGTCTTTAGCTGATGGCTGATGTAAGCATTTAGATGAAGGATCAACTGGACTGCCAACTGGTAGGGCTGAGATCAATTTGTTGGTGGTCAAGCTTGTTAGAGCTAGAAGAGGAACTTGGACCAACAGAGTAATGTACACAGGACAAGATATATTAAGACAAAGTGATTTCTGCATTTTATGTTGAAGTTATATATGTATGTATTTATATATTTATTTATTTATTTAGTGGCATTTTAGCACTGCGATCTGGATAACTTCTGACCCTTGACTGATTCTTTCTTTCTTTCTTTCTTTCTTTCTTTCTTTCTTTCTTTCCATATTAATCAACATATACATTAAATGTAATTAATTAGGGAATTATGTCATGTGTAAAAATAGTCAATGAAATGCCAGCAGGCTACACTTTTTTTTTTTAAATGTCACTTTATATTAATCCCAATACACTATACTGTTCCAAAGTTTGGTATCCGTTTTTAAAGAAATATGATCAGCCAGGATGCATTTACTTGATCTTAAGTGACAGTAAAGACATTTATGTTGTTTAAAAAAAAAGAAAGAGAAAAAGAAAGAAAATCCCTTTTTAAAACTTTCTATTCACCAAAGAATCCTGAAAAAATTTATCACTGTTTTGACAAAAAAAAAAAAGCCAGAACAACTGTTTTCAACATTGATAGTAATAAATGTTCCCTTTCATGGGAACTTCGAACTGCGTCCTCTAGGGGTCGCTATGGGGAACGCCTCGTCGTGACCCGTGTCTGAAGCATACATTGAAAAAACACCAACTCGTTGGCCGGCGACAGCCATGACGTCATTACCGGTGCGACTATAGTATAAATAGGCGCCGGGAGCACACATCATTCTCTTCTTTGCCTTCATTGACTGTTCTGTTTGAAGCGTGCATTTCCAAGGAAAAAAGTAAGAGCTATCTCTTTCATTATGGCGAGCACTAGCAGAGCATTTAGAAGGTGTGTGCATCCATGTCATCGCTATTTGACACCAGATGACACACACGATCTATGTGTTGTTTGTTTGGGCGAAGAGCACGCACGCGATGTCCTCGAGGGGGCAATCTGCGTGCATTGTGAGTTTTTTCCAATGAAAAAGCTCCGTTCTCGTTTGTCTCTCTTTTCGAGTAAAGAGGGGCA